CCCCAAAACCCCAAAACCCCAAAACCCCAAAACCCCATTACGTTTATAAGTGCTTGAAAATAGACAAATATACATACAAAAATAGTCAAAGAAAATGGGAATGTTATTTATTAAACAAATCTCTGGATTAGCTCTGCTCTGAGGGTTAATCCTTGTGGCATATGCCTTGCATGACAAAATTCAGGGAAGATGGAGCCCTGATTCAGATATCTGTAGCACTGACCTTGACTGCTCTTCCAAATTCACTTCATGTAGGAGCGGGTTTTGTGAGCATAAAGGTATATTTCCTCTCAGTCTTGCAGAATTCTTCTCAGCATTTATTGTCTTACTCACAATTTCACTCGGGAATTCAGTAGGAATTGGAGGAGGAGCCATCATAACTGTCACAGGATACACTCTTTTGGATCTTACAGTGACAGAGGCCGTGGCTGTAGCAAATCTCACAATATTTTGAGCAATGTTCTCAGGTTATCTGATGAATTTTTACAAGAAACATCCTCTTAAAAACGCTACTCTTGTTGATTATGGAATAGTCCAATGACAAATGCCAGTCATCGGAGTTGGAACATTTGTCGGCTCGCAGCTAAACACAGTCCTCCCTGACATAGTTGTCCTTCTCTTCTTAATGGCCTTGCTAGTGTGAATAGCAGCAGCTGCTATCCTAAAATGCATTGATCTCCTAAGAAAAGAAAATAGTTTGTTAAACTTAACAGAACAGGTTAGGCCCCTCAATGGACGTCACGGACATATTAATGTAAGAATTTTACATCATCATTTTTAAATAGAGTGCTTCAAGTAACATCGATGAAGTTTCATCTGAACGAATCAAGCTCTTGGAAGAGGACTCCCCTAAAGAGAAGTTATTTAGCAGTGGCAACAGACTCTTTCATCCGGTAAATTCATCTACCAGAGCTCCTCAAGACTCTGACCTTCTTGTATCATCCCAAAGACAAAATCTTGATAAAGTTGGAGATGAATCAAACTCCGGTCTTGATCCCTTGAAAACATTTGGAGCACAGAAGGCGGAGTATACATCAGAGGAGATTAGTCCTACTCTTGAGAAGATATTTTATGGCGAGAGACACCATTTCACTATTGATAAAATTATTCTGGTTGGAGTACCTAACCTCCTTGTAACAATTATTCGGATATTTAGAGGCTCTAGTACCTTCCAAAATTTAATTGGATTATCCAAGTGAAGTGCTGTAGACTGGGTCTTCTTCTGCCTAGAGCTTTCAACTCTGGTTGCTTTCTCATTCATTAACATCATCCTTCTGAGGAAGAGCTATCAGGAGAAAAAACAATCTGGGTACAAATTTGTGAAAGGAGATGTAGAATGGAATGACAGAAGTGTAGCAGCATTTGGAGGGTTAGCTGGAGTTGGAGGATTCGTAGCTCAAACCGTTGGGCTTAGCACTGAAGTTCTGTTTACGCCTTCGTACATCAGAATGGGAGTGATGCCTCCCGTTGCAGGGGTAACTTCCCAGTTCTTAGGAATGTGGGCAACCATGACTGGGTCAATTTTGTTTGCTATTATGGGATATATGCACTTTGAAATTGGTCTCTGGCTTGGGCTATTCTCAACTATTGGCACAATATTTGGTAGTGAGGCTATTGGAGGCTATGTAGGAAGAAAAGGAAGACTTTCGATAGCATTAGGAATAATCTCATTTTTGGTTATTGCTAGTATTGTGGCTGAAGGGTCAGCAGGAATCGTTAAAGCTATAAATAAGAGGAACGATGGAGAAAACATCTGGGCATTTGGTAACTATTGATAAATAACCTTCTTTCAATTCAAACGCACCATAAGGGGTTTTGGGGTTTTGGGGTTTTGGGGTTTTGGGGTTTTGGGG